CATTAAGACTCTATTTACATTATCAATTATAACTCATTTCTCAATGATTAATTCAACAATTATGTTGATAGAATATATATAAAACCATCTAAATAATAGAAAACCTATGACAACCTTACAGAAAATAAACCTACTTTGCTGTCCACATCTCTATGGTTATCAATCATTTCATCCTTTGTTATTAATAAATCATCCAACACGGTAGCTCTAATTAGATGAAATTAATGGGCTTACATACATTTTCATCTAACTTATATAGTATTAAACTAGATCAATTTTCAATTATACCTTGCACCAGGACTCGATGACGCATGTAAACACAATATGGGATTGTGAACTTTCTGAATGTATGCTTGTTGCTCCGACCTTCCTACTTGAAAGCCCCTGAGCCAGAAATAAAAGTTAACAAGCATAAAAGAAAATCCATGAAGTATCAACAAGTAGCAATCTGTAGCACTAATTCAATAAACAACAAGAAACATGCTCATGGAAAAAAGAACAAAACTTGAATGCCTTGTTATTTGCTACCTTAATTAATATTTGGGTTATGTCCTCATAACTGGTCACATATTCCTCGGTCAAATTCTCAACATAAAATCCATGTTTGGTATCATCCCTTATCTGCAGCAGTTTAACCACCATTAAGCACACATAAAAGTAATCCAAAAAGGTATTGAAGAGAGAGAGAGATAGAGTAATACCCACCTCTAGGTTTCGTTGGGTTGGATCAATTAATTCTTCGATTTGTTCATTGTATATCTGAGATAGCAAAAGATAAATAAAATCAACATAAATTCTCAATCTGTTCGATTCATGTCGTAGACATAAAGAAGTAATACACCTTATACCATTTAAAGCAAAAGGCCCAAATATTTAAATAAATAAATAAACACACACAAACCTCAAGGAATGAACAGCGGCACTGAAAATTTATTTGTTTACCTTCTGAGTTCTCTTTTTCCTACATGAAATTTGAAAATAGACTACAATCAATCACAACTTAAAATCCTCATATTACTTGCATTGCCTTTCACATCTCCAGTTTTAACTTGTAACCAACCAATTGTCACTAAATTAGTTCCTATGAACATAATTGAGGGAAGACAGGAAGATAAACTCTCACATAGTAGTACACAGCTGCAATGGCATATTTAGGCAGCATGATGATTGTGTTAACAAGCATGCTGAAAATTAAAAAATTAAACAAGATAGTAATATACACAAAATTCTTTCCAACTCACCTGCTGTGTCCTATCTCCATGAATAGTAGTGGCATGAAACCCACTAGTATACAACCAATGTTCCAATGCATCAGCTTCCTTCTTTGTTTCCACAAATACCAAAGTCAGAGATTGCTGCAAAATTTAATGACATTCAAAATTCAATCAAGCAATGCAAGCCAACTGGAACCAAACATATAATGTATCTGACTAGAAAATTAACAGTAAGCATTAATAGTTAGGAGGAGATTATGCATCAGTAAGTTTTTTTTCTATTAAAAAATAAAAAATAAAAATCCTTTTCCTCCTTGATTAGTTCACTAGTATTATAACACATAATAACACTCCTTGTACAGATCAAAACATGAACTCCATTCCATAGGTAAATCCAAATTGAATGATATACATAAAGCACTTCGCATATTACCTTGCCATGAATGCCGTTAGTCATTTGTGCATGAAGAAGGTCCATGAGGTGGCTTCTCTTGTCAGAGTCATGAACAAATTCAACTCTTTGAACAATCAAATCAGTACTTGAACCAACTCTTCCAACAGCTAAGAATATGTAGTTTGAAAGGAAATCAGATGCTAGTCTCTGCATACAAACCATAGCGTCTTCAGTAATGAAGTATTTTGGTGTAAGCTCTAGCAGTGCTAAAATAGCACAGTACAACAAAAACACTCACTCTAACAGTTGAGTCTATGCTGTGAAAAATAAACCTGAGCATCAAATTCTTACTACTACACCGCTTGCTCGGGAGAGAAATTAATGAAAATGTTCTGTGCCATCAAAAAATACCTATTACACTATCAGTCAAATGCATCAAAAAATAAATTTAAAATTCTTAATCCAATGTGAATGTTCAAAGTTCAATATGTTAGCAAGACCTTAACACATGAGCCTGCAAGCTCTATTCAATATGAAGAAATATAACAAACTTGTGTAGGAAATAAACATGTGAGGCTAATCAACCAAGCAAGCAAATAAATGAACTATTTCAATTAACTAACTGTAATAAAAGTGACCAAAATAACTGTTAGACATAATTTTTCCAAGAAGATTAATGCAACATTAAGACTCTATTTACATTATCAATTATAACTCATTTCTCTATGATTAATTCAACAATTATGTTGATAGAATATATATATCACCATCTAAATAATAGAAAACCTATGACAACCTTACAGAAAATAAACCTACTTTGCTGTCCACATCTCTATGGTTATCAATCATTTCATCCTTTGTTATTAATAAATCATCCAACACGGTAGCTCTAATTAGATGAAATTAATGGGCTTACATACATTTTCATCTAACTTATATAGTATTAAACTAGATAATTATTCTATAGTCAAAACAGATCAAAAAATCTAATGCCTACAATTGACAGAATGAAATAATCTCACATTACATGTTCTTTTTCTTTTTTCCATAAGGGAATTTTCAGACTTGAACTCAATCTTTTCCCCTTAATACAATTTCATGAATAGACTAATTTCCCCCAAAAACATGTTCACAGAATTTTACAGGCACATTTCCTGAATTTTAAAAACCTTAAAAATGTGTGAAAATAACCCAACCAATAAAATTGCAACCATTTTCCATAAAACAGAATTCTGATTTCTATTCAAATGTGAGGCACAATTTTTGCATTAGAAAATGCCTATAACTTATACAAATTATATAAGAAACTATATATGCATATAATAGTTTTTGTGTTATTAGTTACAGATTTTAAAAACCAAAATTACTAAAGGACAAGTCAAAACCATTACCTTCAGGTACCAATCCCAAAACTTCATTTCTCTATTTCACTTCTTTTTCCACTGAAAATTTGTACAAAAATGAGCAATTAGGGCAAGTTCCTTTCAGCAATTAACAATCAAATAGCCATACTCAAACGCATACACACAGATGTATGAGTTTTTGTGAGTGAATGGTGAAAGAAAGAGAGACAGAAAAACAGAGCCGAGAGGGAGAGAAAGGATCTCAGGCGACGGTGACCAACAAGGAGGTGAATCGGTGCTCCGGTTGCCGGCCAACGCGAGGAGGACCGGCGGTGAGAGTGGAGGGGAGAGGAGCGGCGGTGAGGGAGAAGGAGACGGAGAGGGAGAAGGACGCTGAAGAGAGAGAGAGAGAGAGAGAGAGAGAGAGAGAGAGAGAACCTGTGCTCTGCAGCAATGGCGATGGCGATCTGCAGAGGTGGCGGTGGCGGCGACGATCTGCGGCAGTGGCTGTTGCCATCTGAGGCGGTGGCGGTGGTCTGTGGTCATGTGAAGTGGGGTGAGGTTTGGTGTGGTGAAGGAGAATAAACAGAGAACAGGAGCGAATGTTATATATATTTATATATATTACACCATTAGTCGCCAATTAATTTTTCAAATCCCTCTAAAATTTAAAATATCTCCCTCCAAATATTTTAATTTTTGGGCGACTAAAATTTCTTTTTGTCGCTAAAAATATGCTTTTGACGACCAAATTTTTGGTCGCCAAAGATAAACATTAATTTTTTATTTTATATTTGCCAACTAAAAGTTTTAGTAGCCAAATCTATACCTATGGCGACTAAATTATTTTTCGTCGCTGAAAATCAACTTTTGGTGACTAAAATTTAAGTCGCCAAAAGGTAAAAAATAATTTTTTATTTTACATTTGCCGACTAAAGGTTTTGTAGCCAAATCTATACCTACGGCGACTAAAATTATTTTTCGTCGCTGAAAATCAACTTTCGGAAGGTAAAAAATAATTTTTTATTTTACATTTGCCGACTAATGGTTTTAGTAGCCAAATCTATACCTACCGTGGCTAAATTTACTTTTTGTCTCCAATTTCTGGCATTTTTCCCGACTAAATTTCTTTTAGTCGCCAACTGTGATATTTTTAGCTACTAATTTTTTTTTAGTCGCCAATTGTAATATTTTTAGCAACTAAATTTTTTTAGTAGCCAATAATCAATATTCCCCGACTAAAAAAAATTAGTAGCTAAATATTCGACTTTTGCCGACTAATTTTATTTTTAGTAGCCAATTCCGTAACTTTTGGCGACTAAATTTTTTTTAGTCGCCAAAAATGGTCGCCAAAAATGTATTTTCTTGTAGTGTATGTGGATGTAGCATGCAGTAATTGTAATATTCTAAAGTTTTAAATTTTCTTTGTTTGGATGAGACATGCAATGATTGTAATACTTTTTTAAGTCATTGACTGTAATACTTTTTTTTTTTTTTTTGAGGAAGTGCATAAGTTGAGTTATGTTGAAAATTTGTAAAATTTTAAACTGCCAAACCGATTCGCATCAATCCGCCAATCTGCTCAATCCACATCCGTCGGATTGGCTGACGGATACGGATTGATTTTCTTCAATCCGCTAATCTGGTGGACAGATGGCGGATTAGAAGTTCCGTAGCCGCAACCGACCCGCATCTACCTCTAATAAAAAGATAAAATAGTCTAAAAAGCTAATAAGACAAAATGTCACATCCAAACTATAATCATTTTATTTTTTCTCTCACAAAAATTAAAAAACTTATTCTAAACAAGACTTTTTAGTTTCACACTAAATAATCAAAAAATTAAAAAATCAACTCTCATCCAAACGAACAGTGAGTATCATTAAGGATGTAACTCTTGGATTGGATAAAGTTAAAATTTTTGAGGTTTAATCTCACTAAGAAATAGTCCTTAGTTCCTTCCCCATTTTTTTGAGAAAATCAGGATATGTTTTAATACATAACTCATCTCATGGATTAGGGAGTTTATGAAAAAATTGATCTAATCAGGGTTGATTTGCTGGTGGATCAATAAGATAATAATATTTTTTAAAAGCCTGAACATAGTCTTCAAAAAGACAAATATTACATAATTCTAATTTAGTCAAAATATAATTTGCATCTGCTTGCAAATTAGTATCTCCTGCAAAACCACATAAATTTTCTTTTATGATTTTTGCAAATTCAGCTAAAATTGTGTCAAGTGTGAGAAAATTTGTTAACAAAGCCGTTTTTTGACTTTTTCCAATTTCAGATTTTTCCCACTGTCTTAACCATTGCAACACATCGCCCTGGAGAGTTGCTGCAATATAATCAAGGAATTTTTCCTTTGACCAGCTATTTTATAATTGGTAATAATGATGGACAAGGATTGTGCCCAATCATCTATTGCTTGTGGTTGATCCTTAAATGGAACATAAGACAAGTCTAAATACGTACCATTTTGAGCTATTGGATACTTATGATTATTATCTTTTCTAGATATCACTGGCTCAGGTGTAGGATTGGAAGTACTTCCAATGTTAGTATCATTTTTAACTTCATTTGTTTGAATAAAGTCAAAATTTTCTCCCTCTCCCCATGTGCCAAATAATTCGGGATCAATTGGCTCTTCTGCCTTTCTTTTCCCTTTATTTATTTCTGATGAAATATCTTGATCTATTGATTCTTCAGATGAGGATGATTGGCTGTCATCATCATTAGTTGACATATTAATATCATAATTAAAGTGTTGTAAAAGGGCTTCATTTTCTAGATAAGTTTCTCTTATCTGATCTAGTAGCCTATTTCTTTCATCAATACCTAAGTCTGGGTCTTTATATAATTTTCTCCAATAATCCAATATTTCAACAATATTTTCATATTCAGTTCTATTATAGGTATTGGTTTGAAGTACCATAATATCTTCTGTACCATAAAATAGCCTAGGGATGTCATTATCTCCTGGACTATTCATTCCATCATTGTTTATGAAGGATATAGTTTCTAATTTTGTCACCAAATTGTTTATTTGATTTTTTGCTTCTTTATTTAAGTCAATATTTATTATAGAACCCAAATTGTCTATTTTAGATTCTATAGACTCAACTTTAGTTTCTAGATAATTTTGATTTATTTTTTGATTTTTATCTAATTTGAAAAACCAAGAACGCATAATATCAGTAATATTATTTAAACTAGAACACACACTATTTATATTTGCAGACTCCTTGATCATATTTATTATTAACATTATTTTTTGTATTTTCAAAGCATATTATATCATCAGAATTAATTGCCATTTTAGATTGTTGTTGGTACCTAAGACCCTCCTAGTGTATTATCTGGTGCCTAAAACCTCTCTTTTATGATCTTAAAGACTTAATTAAAGCCAATAGTCAAAAGATCTTAATGAGTATATGGGCTTTGACATACACTAAGCATATAGGTTTTACAACAACTATAAATGAAACAAATAATTATGAAGATATAAAATACAAAAGATACACAAAAAATTTAGACGATTTTTTTTTTTTTTATATATAACATAAAACACACCATACAAACTTATATATATATAAAAAATTTATACATAGATAGAAATACTTACATAGCTTGATCTTGCTTTCAAAAGCTCTTCACTAAGCTCTAATACCAATTACAAAACAAAAATGGAAAGGAGCTCTTTACTATTTTTATTATGGAATTATGGTGGAGTTATGGAATTATGATAGAGAACTTTAGAGACAAAAGTGGAAGCACAAAGATGGAGAGAATATGGAGAGAATTTACATACATTATTATGTTGGCATAAAGGCCAATATATAGACTTACAAGGGGTGAATACAAACAAAATATAAC